TATATATATATATATATATATATATATATATATATATAAAATATGTGAAAAATTGATGTGGGTACTCAAATGAAAGCTCTCTTCAAGTCTACCATCAAGACGAGCTTATATCTTAAAAAATATCAATAGTTCACAAGACAAAATGCAATTTTTTAAAATTCTCAATTACATACCTTTTGCCCAACCTCATAGTCCCTCCCTTCTCATCGCCATTATACTCCGGCATATCGACAATAACCGCATGCTCTGTCTCAGGATCAATCTCCATACTATTAGCAGCTTCCAGTCCCAAAACATTCCTCGCGAATTCAATAACAGCGACTTGCAATCCCAGACAAATTCCCAACATCGGTTTAGAATTGACTCTGCACCACTTGCAAGCTGAAATTTTCCCCTCAATTCCCCTTTTGCCAAACCCTCCGGGTACAATAACTCCATCGCTCTTGCACAACTTTTGCCAGGCCTCGTGATAAAGCACAGGATTATCCGCAAGAGTTGCATTCTCCAAATTAGCCGCTTCAATGTAAGTTAAATTTAATTTATAACCCACTTCTAAGCTCGCATGCTGCAGCGCTTTAGTAACAGAAGCATAAGCGTCCTCTAGCTTAGTATATTTCCCAACAAGAGCGATATTGACTTTTTTTCTCAGGTGGTCAAATCTGTCCGATAGGTCGCGCCACTTGCGCATGAAACTCCTGGGTCTTTCTGGCCCCACGTGAGGAAGATCCAGCTGCAGCCGCTCGTTGAGGAACTCAATGACTCCTTGAGACTCCATTAATAATGGAACACGATAGATGGAGCTGAGGTCGTGGATTGTGATGACTTGTTCTGGAGCCACGTGGCAGAAGTTAGACACTTTGTCCTTGACTGAGGGACCGATTGGCTGCTCCGAGCGGCAGACTATCAAATCAGGTGATAGGCCCAGGCCGCGAAGTTCCCGAACTGAAGCTTGGGTTGGCTTTGTTTTAGGCTCGCCTGTGCTCCGTGGTTGAGGAACTAGTGACACGTGCGCCACGCAGAAGTTCTCCTTCTTGACGCGGAACTGGAACTGACGGAACGCTTCTACGAACGGCATGCCCTCTATGTCTCCGATTGTACCACCGAGTTCTATTACACAGACCCGAGGTTGGCTGTTGGACTCTGTTACCGGTTGCTGGGAGACTCTTTCAACCCATTCTTGGATGCAGTCGGTTATGTGAGGCACCACTGGAAATTTTTTTATTAATTATATTAAAGTGTGTTAATTTATTGGTATTATTATTTGTTGTTGTTGTTTTTTTTTTTTAGGGAAAGTTTAATGGATACCTTGAACTGTTTTGCCGAGGTAGTCGCCGTGGCGCTCCTTGTTGATGACATGCTGGTACACCTTGCCGGTGGTTATGTTATTGTCACGGTGCAGGGTTATGTCTAGGAAACGCTCGTAGTTACCGAGGTCAAGGTCCACTTCTCCGCCATCGTCAAGGACGTATACTTCACCTGGAATTGATTGGTATGTTAATAATGATAATAATAATTAGCAACCTTGCAGTCACTACGTGACTGCCGTAGTAAACTATAACTATAACTTAAATAAAATTTTGCTATATTAAATAGCTTTTGTTAAATTGCACTGTACTTCCTTAATTGAAGTTTTTAAAGATATAAGCGCATCCTAATGTTACGCTCGTCAAGAGCTTTCATTTGAGTACCCACATTAATTTTTCATATATTTTTCATATATACATATATATAATATATATAAATATATAAAATATATGAAAAATTGATGTGGGTATTCAAATGAAAGGTCTTGATAAGTGTAACATCAAGATGTCCTTATATCTTTGAAAATGTCAATTTTTCACAAGATACAAGCTCATTTCTCAATTACTGACATTTTTAATGATATTAGCTCATCTTAATGTTACACTCATTAAGAGCTTTCATTTGAGTACCCACATGCATTTTTCATATATTTTTCATATATACATATATATATAATATATATAAATATATAAATACCCACATCAATTTTTCATATATTTTATATATTTATATATAATATATATTATATATATTTATATATGACAAATATATCAAAAAGTTATGTGGGTATTCAAATGAAAGGTCTCGATGAGTGTAACATCAAGATGAGCTTATATTTTGAAAATTGTCAATAGTTCACAAGATACAAGGTCATTTCTTAATTATGTATCCTGGAGACTTTTTTTATCCTCTAATTAATATAAATAATAATAATAATATGTCAAAAAAATCTTGATTTAACTATTATTAGTGTTATTATTATTAAATTTCGAAAAATAGGTACCTTAATAATAACTTTGTATACTTTTGAAACTATTAAATTTTTTAAAACAAAATTCTACAATTCAAACTGTAAAAAAAAATTTTTTTTCTTCATAATAAATAATTTAAAAATACTTTCATTAAATTTTAATAAAAACTCCAAAAAGTCTTAAAAATATCAGCTGACTATATTCTCCTCAACTGTCTCCATTTTTTCTCATTATTATTTAACAATTTGAAAAAATCCTATTTTATATTCTATCATCTTATCTTATAAATTAAAAAAAGAATTATCAGTCACAAACTATCACTGCAAATTTAAATAAAAACTTTTCAAACAAAATGGTCGGTCAATCACGTGGCGAAAAAAGCGGGACCGCGTGTTTGATCCGACAATTGTATTCTATTATATATAAAATCTATAAAAACACAACTACGTATTAATAAAAAATTGTCACTTGCCAAAAATTCTAAAATTAACACCAAAAGTCTTAACAAAATAAATTTAATTAATATTAATAATAACAATAATAATTATAAAAAAAAAAAAAAATGAGTAAAAATTACCATGCTCATACGGAGAAAATGTTCCAGCATCAATATTAATATACGGATCAATTTTAATCGACGTCACAGCAATTCCGCATTCTTTCAATATTGTCCCAAATGAACTTGCAATAACTCCCTTGCCAATACCGCTAATTACTCCACCAGTCACTAGTATGTACTTCATTTTTCCTAAAATAAAATAAATATATTAATAAAAAACACCCTCAAGATTTAAATAAATATTTTTTTTTTATTTTATTTTATTTATAAAAATTATTTTTTCTCACCTTTTATTTCCAAATAGCAATTTTACCTTTTAATATATTTAATTTTTTATAAATTTGTATTGATTTCAGCACATGCCAGGCTCGAGAGCAACTGGATGGATTTCCTGCAGTGTCGCATAAATATTTATTAATTATTATATAGCCCACGAGGATTTTCATTGGCGCATAAAATTGTCGCAGCGACAGCAGCGACTACGTAAGACAGTGGACATTTTTTTTTAAGAAAAATACACTAGCGCCACCACCGTCACAATTATAAATTATGGAACTCACAAAAAAAAAACAAAATAATAACAATGACTGTTTATTTAAGTTTATTGTTATTATATTCAGTTTGAAAGTTATTTAAGCCAGGTAATTCATGATAATTTATTAATTCAAAATTTTTTTTTGAGTTTTATTATTTTTGGACTTTGATTTTTTTTAAAGGTAAGTTTAATTAGGTTTTTTTTTCAATATGTTTGTAAGTTAATTTTTTTTTGAGGTTAAACTCAATTATTAAAAAAAATTAAGTATTTTTTTAAAATTGCATTTATTAATTTTTATAAAATTAAAATTTTTGGATTTTTGTTTTAAACTTTAAAAAAAAATTTTTTTTAATTTATTTTAAAAAAATTAAAATGTCTTTCTTATTTTTTTGAAAATAAATTTGATTTTTTTTTATGGAAATACTAAAAAAAATTAATATAGTTTTTTTTTTTTCATGAAAAATTGGATTTTTTTTATTAAAATATTGAAAAAAAAAAAATCTGTCAGATTTTAATGATTTTTTTGCAAAAAAAATTTATTTTAAAAATTTACTTATATATTTTAATAAAAAATTGGATTTTTTAAATTAAAATACTAAAAAATATTATTTTCATAAAAAAATCTGTCAAATTTTAGGAATTTTTTTGTAAAAAAAAATTATTAAAAGTTTGATTAATTTTCAAAAATTATTAAATATTGAAAAATTGAAAATTATTATTAATTTTTCTTATAAATAAAAATTAATTAAAATAAAAATGTTTCAGGAATAATTTATCCATAAAAAAAAATGGCTAAAAAATTGACAGCAAAAATTGGACCATCAATATTGAACGCAGATTTATCAATTCTGTACGAAGAGTCAGCAAAGTTAGTGACAAATGGAGCGGACTACTTGCACTTGGACGTAATGGACGGTAATTTTGTCCCCAACATGACCTTCGGCCACCCTGTTGTGAAATGCTTGCGCAGGAAAATCAAGGACGTAGTCTTCGAGACCCACATGATGGTGACGAAACCTGATCAGGTGAATATAATTTTACACAGATGAATATTATCAATTTTTAAATATTAAATATAACACGATATAAACTTATCATAAATTATAAATAAATAATAATTATTATTATGAGTAATTAAATACGAGTTTTGTTTATATATTTAAAATTTATTTTTTTTTTCCAGTGGATTGAACCGATGGCTGATGCGGGAGTTGACCGGTACGTTTTTCATGTTGAGTCAGCTGATGATGTCAAGGTTGTTTGTAGAAAAATTAAAGAAGCTGGCATGAAGGTAATTATTATTATTATTATTATTATTATTATTATTTATTTTTATTGAAATTATTATTATTTATTAAAATTAAATTAATTTAAATTGTAGGTCGGAGTGGCTCTGAAACCTGGAACTCCGGTGGATGTAGTAATAGAGTATGTTGACCTGGCAGACATGGTGCTGGTGATGACAGTTGAGCCTGGGTTTGGCGGGCAGAAGTTTATGGAGAGCCAGATGACCAAGGTCAAGTGGCTCAGGGAAAATTATCCTGATCTGGATATTGAAGTTGATGGTGGAGTTGGTCCTAGTACTATTGATATTTGTGCTAAGGTAATAACATAATTAAGAAATGACCTTGTATCTTGTGAACTATTGACATTTTTAAAGATATAAGCTCATTTTGATATTACACTCATCAAGAGCTTTCATTTGAGTACCCACATCAATTTTTCATATATTTATATATATATCATATATAAATATATATGAAAAATATATCAAAAATGCATGTGGGTACTCAAATGAGAGCTTTTGACGAGTGTAACATCAGGATGAGCTTATATCTTTAAAAACATCAATATTTAAGAAAATACAGTTCAATTTAACAAAAATCATTTAATTACAATAATAATAATAATAATAATAATATATAATTTCTAGGCTGGAGCAAACATGATAGTCTCAGGAACAGCTGTGATAAACTCACCCGACCAAAAAAAGACAATATCAACACTAAAGGAAGCAGTTACAAAATACTTGACCAACTAAATTGTTAAAACTATAGACATTCAAGAATAAAATCTATATATTTTCTGTTACCTAATAATAATCCTCAATATATTTTAACTTCCAGAACAAGTCTTCCACCTGCCACTCAAAGTAAAGAAAAATACCAAAAAGTCCATTAAAAAAAGAAAAAAAAAACCTTTTATTCACTCAAAATTACAATTCATTCCAGGGTACCATTTTCTTCCTCATCTCCGCAAGACTGATCAGAATCGCCTCCTCGGTCCTAATCGTCCTAGACCCTTGCCTCGGACAAGTATTAACATACTCTCCAAAAAGCAGCTTGGGATCCTCCAAATCCAGCTTTGGATCAGCTTCAAGCGCCGCTTCAAGTCCAGCGAGTCCTCCGAAGACGATCAAGCCTCTCCTGTAAACCAGCGCTCCATCATCCAGGTGATCCACACTTTTTCCTTTATCCGAAGTACCTACAATAACATCATAGCCTTCCTTATAGGGGCACTTTTCAATAATCTCCGACAAGCTCCTAGCAATTCTCACAGAGTATCCCCAGTAAATTCCATTTTCCTTGGGAGTCCTGGGACTAACAACCTGGCCCTTGATCTTTTTGCCTTCAATCCCTTCCGGGATCCTAACAGTGACCCTAAGGTTAGGACTAATTGTCTTATCAATCTCAACGTCCCTTAACAATCCGCAATTAACTTGGGAGCCTCTTCCAGGCTTCAGCGGCTTGTCTACCACAACGCCCTCTCTGAACTGGCAATAGTCGTTCTGCCTAAGATGGTGCGGAGCATCCAAAGGGTTCAACAATCCTGCAAATTGCAGATCTTTGTGAATTGGGAAGAAGTACTTCCTCAAGTACTGGGGACACTCCAAGTACTGAAGAATCCTTGCTAATTGTAGGCAAGCTCTTCTATAAGCCAAATTAGCACTAGACCCTTCCCCTTCCCCCTCGGTCTGCCAGGTGGTCTCCACCTTGACCTTCTTAGAGTGTCTTTCCAATTCCGTGATCTCACCCTGGTCGTCAAAGACCACCACTTCATCTACCTGGTAAACGCAAGCCGCTCTTGCGATTTGCCCAGCTAGGTAAGTCCGCAATTCTTGGGACTGCGCGTTGTCTAATATAGACCCAGGAACTGCGATTGATAAAGTTGGAACCACTTTCTTAACCACCTCGGGTGCAGGATTAGACTCTAATTCTGGTGGAGAAGAATTGGTCGGCTTAGAAGTGGCCATTTTCTTCATCAAACGCTCCTCGCGCCATTTTCGACGGTTTTCTTTATGAATCTTGTTGTGCTCTTTGAAATTCTTACCCATTGGCACTACCGTTGACATTTTTGTTTACTTATAACACGTGTTTTCACTACAAGGCACTGCAAGGTCACTTGTATAACTGATAGTGTTTTTTTTTGTGTGTTATAGAGGTTAAGCAAGCACTGGAAGGGAAGATTGCGATTATATCTACGGGGGAGCTGGAGATAGTTGAGAGAAGATTCGAGCTAGGTGGCGGTAAGTTTGAATTTTTATTCATAATTTAAATTTAAAAAAAGGATAAAATTTTATTTATATTAATAATTTTCTTAACTAGCAACTCGACAGTCACTACGTGACTGCCATAGTGAACTATAAATAAATAAAATTTTGGTTTATTAAATAGCTTTTGTTTAATTGCACTGTACTTTCTTAAATATTGATGTTTTTTAAGATATAAGCTCATCCTGATGTTACACTCGTTAAGAGCTTTCATTTAAATACCCACATGCATTTCTGATATATTTTTCATATATACATATATATAATGTATATAAATATATGAAATATATGAAAAATTGATGTGGGTATTCAAATGAAAGGTCTTAATGAGTGTAACATCAGGATGAGCTTATATCTTTAAAAATGTCAATAGTTCACAAGATACAAGGTCATTTTTTAATTATGTATCCTGGAGTCAACATTTTTCTTATTCTCACAATAATATAAATTATTAATTTTACAATAAAAAATTTAATTTTGTTTTTTGAATCTTGAAAAAAAAAAAAAAAAAAATCAATATTTCAATTTAAAAATAAGCCGGTTAATAAAATTGCAATAATTATTAACTTTAAAAAATATTAAAGTAATTTCGAGAAAAACGTGTTTAAAGTTTCCAGTAAATTTTTTCCACTATAAAATAATCACAGTGTCCTTAATTAATTTTTAAAATTATAAATCAGCAATATAAAAAAAAATTCCACTCACCAAATCACATGATTTCTTTCGAACCACCCGGAGAAGTTTATAAAAAAAGCAAGAGTTAACTTCCAAGTTGCCCGAACACTGTCAGACTTGCCGACTAACGGCAGCTCGGCTCCAAAGTCGCTGATTCGCTAGCTCGCGTCGGAGTGGGAGGAAGAATCGACAAAATTATAGTCTTTTTTTACGCAATGTCTTTTCTTAAAAATATTCCTCTATTTCTTCGGATAACTCATAAAACATTAACGTAAAAAATATACTGTCCATTGTCGCAATATTTTTCGAACTTCTTACCGGGCAATTTTCTAAGTCAACCCTTCTTGCATTTGTCACCGCTTCATTTATTATTCACACGCTATCGGCTATTGACTTTCTATATTCTTCGAACTGCAGTCGTATTTTACTAACAAAATAATACGAACCCCAAAGAAATATTATTTATAGAGTATCTTCGATTTGACAAAGCGGGAAATGTCGGGTGTAGAGATGGCAAATGTCAAAAGCGATATTCCGTCGTGCAAACAATTATTCAGTATGGAATTATTCGTTATGAAATGCGTCGGATTGGGTTCTTTGGAAAGAGCCTTTGAAGTGGATAAAGATAATTATAAATTACGCGCACTTAAATATTGGGAAATTTTTCTTTTTATCGCTAGTGTATGTCTTTTATCAACGCTTATTTACAGTTTGGTAACATCTTTGCCTTTTTATTTTGGTAAAGATTTTTCTATGACATGTTTTATTGTTTCTGTTGCTTTTTCTATGAGCATGACTACAATGAAGGTAATTTTTACTATTAATTATTTACTTTAATGTCATTTAAGCTTATTATTATACTAATTGCTTTTTATATTTTTTGATAATTATTTAAATGGTTGAATAATTTAAACAATTAATTGATTTTTCAAATTCTATTTAATTTATTGAAGAATATTAATTATTATTATTAATTTTAATTTTATAAAAATTTTTTAATTATAAGATTGATGTAAGAATTAATAAACCGTTACATCAAATTATTATTATAAATATAATAAGGGATACCGACCACTATACTATCGAAGAATATTATTAATGAAATATTTTTTTCAGCTTTTGAGATTATGGACATCTCGGGTAAAGTTTTACCAAATTTTGGAAATAGTTAATAAAATTTGGGAACAAAATACCCGAAAAAGAGTCGATTTAAAAGCTAAAATAATAAAAGTTATCGACGACAATAAAACTGTAAGATGTTTGTATGTAATAATTGCTTTGATATTGAATGTTTGCTACTCATTGCGCCCATTTATGTAATTAATTTTTAAACCATTTTCAATTCCCTGGTTAAGAATACTCATTGAAAAAAATTCGGACTTTATTTTTAATTTTTTTCAATCGCTATTTTTAAACAGGGTTCTATAAAACAATTTTTATTATTTACTTCTGAATTTAATATATTTAAACAGTATGTTACTTACCACATACTTAACATTGCCTGAAAACGAGACCATGACTTTTACTGAGCAGGCATACACAGGGGTGCACTATCCCATAAGATCAGACAACATCGGCAGATATGTACTCTTGATGGTAATGGAATTCCAAATTTCATATTTTGGAACCGCGTACTTTATTCTCGCAGAATTGTTGTTTGTATTCTTAACAACGTTACTAACTATTCATTTTATGGTAATTGTTTTTTATAACTTGATTTAATAATTAAAAAAAATTAATATAAGTTTATTCTTTCAGGTGCTTGCTGATGAGTATCTTTCAATATTTGACATTTATCAAAAAAATAACAATAATTTATCATCTATTAATGAAATAATAAAACGTCATTGTTCATTACTATTGTAAGTATATAAATTCTTTAAAATTTGATTATAAAATAAGTAATGATTATTTTTTTACTTGTATTTTCGATAGCGTATGTCAGCAAATAACGTATTTGTACAGTCCGATGGTAATGGCGACGATAATTTTCAATGGTATAGATCTATGTTGTTCAATTTTTGCCTTCCAACAAGTAATTTTATATTTTATTATTGATTTATTATTTATAAAAAAGAAATTAAAATTGGATTTTTAAATTTTCAGGATTTTGCCGCGGGTAGAGCGGAAACTTCACTGGCTAAAAATTTACCCCACGCTTCAATATTAATTTTTCAAATAATAATCTACTGCAATTGCGCGCACATTACAACTGAACAGGTACTAAGTATTTAATTAAAATAAAATCTTAAATATTTTTATTTAATTACTTATTCACCAGATTGGATCAAGTTACTTCACGATTTGAAGCTGAAGAATTAAAAGTATTTATTTATTTTTTATTATTAGAAAAAATATTTTAAGGCAATTTTTAAAAAAATTTTTAATTATTTATAAAAAAAATTGATATTATTGATTAATTAATTACTTTAATTACAGAATTGGAATTTACTTACTCGCACAAATAGACACTATGAATTTATTTCATGGAAATTGACAGTAATTTGGATGTTTGGATTTATTTTGAGATATTTTTTTCTTCTACCTCTCAGAATTTTCATTTTTTTCTTTGGGGTATGTATTAAGTATTAGAAAAAAAAAATTATAATAATTTATTGACAATATTTATTGTTGTAAATATTGAACAGGTAATGTGGCTGACAATTTGTACGGCAATAGTCGGATACGTCCCGGAAGGAAACTTCAAACGTTGGTTGAATCACAAAGTATCGATGATGTGCTTCGCAATATTGTCTGGAGCCCTTTCCTCGGTAATTAACTATCACAATGCTGAGCACAAGCCTGTGAGAGGTATTTGCGTCGCTAATCATACCTCCCCGATTGATGTGCTTGTTTTGATGTGCGACAATTCGTACTCTTTGGTGAGTTTTATTTGTATTAAATTTATTAAGATAGTGTAGCTAGTTATAATTGAAGTAATTAATGAAAAAATTTGTTTGAAGATTGGGCAGCGTCATGGAGGATTTTTAGGAATTCTTCAGAGAGCTTTAGCACGTGCGTCTCCACATATTTGGTTTGAACGATCGGAAGTTAAGGACCGTGAAGCTGTTACTAAAAGGTACTTTATCATGATAATAATTACAGTTCAAAAATTATTATTACTGATAAGTATTTAGGTTGCTTAAAAAAATGCTCTATCTTTAGATATATAAATGAGAAATGACCTTGTATCTTGAGAACTATTGACATTTTTAAAGATATATGTAGGGGTGTGCGAATAATTCGAACTTACGAATTATTCGTTTCGAATCGAATAGTAATATTCGATTCAAAATTCGAATCGAATAATTTGAATTTTCAAATTATTCGAAATTCGACGAATAATTCGAAAAAATTCGAATAATTCGAAAAATTACGAATAATTCGAAAAAATTCGAATAATTCGAAAAATTACGAATAATTCGAAAAAATTCGAATAATTCGAAAAATTACGAATAATTCGAAAAAATTCGAATAATTCGAAAAATTACGAATAATTCGAAAAAATTCGAATAATTCGAAAAATTACGAATAATTCGAAAAAATTCGAATAATTCGAAAAATTACGAATAATTCGAAAAAATTCGAATAATTCGAAAAATTACGAATAATTCGAAAAAATTCGAATAATTCGAAAAATTACGAATAATTCGAAAAAATTCGAATT